TCCGTGACGGGTTCTCACTCCTAGTCTTTTATTCGTCTGTTATGGTCTTTGTAACAAAGATGGCCAGTATAACGGCTCAAGCAACGATCGATGCCTTAAAAGTAATATTTTCTGTCGAAGGTCTGCCTGATACCATAGTCACGGATAACGGACGGCAATTCTCAGCGGCCGAGTTCCAGGTTTTTTGTAACAGCAATGGGATTACGCATCTCACCACTGCGCCTTTTCATCCGGCATCGAACGGTGAAGCTGAACGCTTTGTGCGCACCTTTAAGCAAGCCTTTAAGAAAGCAGTCGCGGACGGTAAAATCATTTAGATTCACTACTAACCATTCTTAGCACTTACAGAACTTGTCCCATTGGCAGTAGCAATAAGTCGCCGGCGGAATTGCTACATGGCCGCCAGCCAGAAACACGGCTTAATATGCTTGTACCCACTCCCACTCAAGGGTCCAGGGCCGGGTCGGAATCATCGTACGCTGTTTCGACAAACGTTTACGCCAGGAACTATGCACGGGGTCCACCGTGGATTCCTGGTGTAATTCAAAGCAAAGTGTGCAGTATGATGTATCGCGTGAGTACGGACCAAGGCTTACTCCGTCGCCATCGTAACCAGTTGAAAGCTCGCCTATCAGGACTAACGGGAGGGTTCTTGACTAGGTGCGGAGGGACTGATGCATCTCAATACAACACTGTTCCTAAGAACTGAATGACGCATCTAATGCAACACTGTTTCATAAGATCCTTCGCAAGTTGACGTTTGCAAACTACACACCACTTCGCTTATATTACGATTTTCGCTATCACGTGTTCTTACTTAAAATTACTGAATATTGTTAACAAATTAGATTAATAAATACTTGAAGTTACAACAGGAACCTACTTACGAAATTTCAACGAAATCGGACAAGATTTGATGAAAATATACCTATTTTTTTAATAAAGATGCATTTAAAATCTGGAGTTTCCGGAAAAGAAACAACAGCGTTGAGCGACCTCTAAATCTGGTTCAAATAAGCTGAAATTTTAGATTGAACTTGTCTTCCCTATTATTTTCAAGAATCCGAACGTTCTCAGTCGAAATTCAAAAAGTTCCAACTTTGAATCACCCTAATGTACATATGTTCTAACAGAAGTGGAGAACGACTTCCGCCCACGTAAAAATAGCCGTCCTTACCAAATACATTAAAGGCTTTCACAACTCTGAGATTTCTTGCTCAGGGATCATAAAAACAGAGTGTTGGCAATAAGGCGTTACTTGGATTAGCCCAACCGACGGTTTCTATTGTGTTAAAAAATGTGCATACTTCAAACCAAATTTATCAATAAACTAGTGCTTGGAAATTTGAAATCTTTGTTTTAAATGAAAAGTTTAATCTTTTGGCTACATGTGTGTATTAAAGTTTTTAGATTCAGGTCACGCGTTTGGGATCAACAATCCAAAATCCTTGCACAAATAACTAAACCGTACCCCTCGGAGAAGCAACATGCTCAACTTGATGTTTTATGCTCGCAATTTTCGGCCTGAAAAAAAAAACAGTATTTTGTTCAAATCGTTTCCATAAGTTCATATTATAAATTTTAATACTTACATACATTATTTTAATTTTGTTAAATTGTATCGTATCGTATAAAAATGGTCAACTGCTTGAAAGCGTATGAAATTAAACAGCTGATACGATAGCTATCGTATGGCAATACCAAAATTTAACGCTATACGATAAGCGGTAGCTATCGAATTTCATACGCTAAAATTTAATTCGTAATACGGCACAACAGAATGCAAGTGTTTATCGTGTATCGTATGGATTCATAGTAGGGGGGTTAGTTTATTAACATGTGCATGTCATTGGAGGTAATCGAATAAATGTAAAATGTCTTGCCACTGCATTACGTGTAATACAATCGATAAGCGAAAATTGTCTTGAGGCGACTTGTATTGCGTTACTCTATTGATACAAAAATAAGTGCTTCCCAAAAAATGAAAAGTTTTTGCTGGGGTGTGTGTGAGCAGAGCATGTATGCATGTGCAAATACGAGCCGGTATATACGGCACCCTGAAATTGTGCATACGGAACTGTGCATACGAAATAATGCATATGAAAAAACCGAAATAATGCATATATGCACCGTTTTGGTTGAAACACGAAATAATGCATACGAAAAAGCCGAATTAATGCATATATGCACAGTTTCGGTTGAAACCCGCAATAAAGCATATGCACACTTTCGTTTGAAAACCGAAATAATGCATATGAGATAACCGAAGTAATGCATATGAGAAAACCGAAGTAATGCATGCCAACAAGTAACAGCAAGCACCTCTGCACGTTCAGCCACTGCCGTACATGCAGATTTGTTTTCAAATGTTGAACTTGAATCACATTTCTTACAATCGGCTTATTAACCATGGAAAATCAAACCATAACTTGGTTGAAAAAACCCTTTTGCTTTGGCTCAGTGTGCATATGACAAAAACCGAAGTAATGCATACATGCACAGTTTCGACTCAAAACCGAAATAATGCATATGACAAAAACCGAAATAGTGCATACATGAAAACGAACTTCTTTCTGCGTAGGCGGCCTTCGGCCGCGCTTAGGGATTATAACCCTTACTAAGTAGAATTCTCCATTCTATGTTACCAGAAAAGGGGGCTGAAGTATTTTTGTGCAGAACTTCTTTCTGCGTAGGCGGCCTTCGGCCGGGCTTATCGGTTATAACCCTTACTAAGTAGAACTCGCCTTTCTGTGTTGCCGGAGAAGAGGGGCGTAAGTATTTTTGCGCAGAACTTTTTTTTGCGAAGGCGGCCTGGGGCTGCGCTTAGGGATTATAACCCTTACTAAATAGAATTCTCTTTTCTGTGTTGCCGGAAAAGAGCGGCGGAAGTATTTTTGCGCAGAACTAAGATTTGCATAGGCGGCGTTTGGTCGCGCTTAGGGATTGTAACCCTTACTAAGTAGAACTATCCTTTCTGTGTTGCCAGAAAAGGGGGGGCGGAAGTATTTTTGTGCATAACTTCTTTCTGCGTAGGCGGCCTTCGGCCGCGCTTAGGGATTATAACTCTTACTAAGTAGAACTCTCCTTTCTGGATTGCCGGAAAAGAGGGGCGGAAGTATTTTTGCGCAGAATTTCTCTCTACGTAGGCAGCCTTCGGCCGAGCTTAGGGATTGTAACCCTTATTAAGTAGAATTCTGCTTTCTGTGTTGCCGGAAAGGGGGAAGTATTTTTGCGTAGAACTTTTTTCGTAGGCGGCCTTCGGCCTAGGAATTATAACCCTTACTAAGGGATTGTTACCCTTACTAAGTAGAAGTAATTCATATTAGAAAAAAAAAACGAAATTATCCATGTGCCCACTTTCATTTTAAAACCGAACTAATGCATGTATGCACAATTTCGGTTGAAAACCGAAATAACGCATATGTCAAAAACGAAGTAATGCATACATGCACAGTGTGGGTTGAAAACAGAAATACTGCATTTAAAAAACCCGAAGTAATGCATACATGCACGGTTTCGGTTGAAAACCCAAATAATGGATATGAAAAAATATCGAAATTTTGCATATGCATACTTTCGTTTTAACCGTAGAACACATAACCAAAAAATACCACGTTAACACATAACCGGGGTACTTGTGTGTCCACTTACTAGTTTTTAATGTCTTAGAGGCATAATAGCAATTGTTATGGGTTTAATCCAATACTGTATGAGCGCTAGTTAATTAAGAATGTTAATATATTAACCGCGAAAATTCAAGTATGTAAATACACAGAAGAAATAGGCTTCAAAATACATACAACGACAGTCTAAATATCTTCCAGTGCATATAAAAGGTAACAGAAGATAACATAATGAAATGTTGTGTCAAATTAAAATTTTGAATGCCTTTTCTTTTACATATTGTCTGCTGGAGAAGACGAGGCTTATATTCAGTATCTTTGTGACACCATTGTGGACGATGGAGCAGATTCTTTATCTGAGCGTGGGGAAGAGCAGGGGCCCAATATAAGAGATGTCGAAATGTCTGACGCGGAAAATGTCTGTTTCCTGCAAATGCAGCCACGTGGCTTGAGGGAGCTTTTTTGAAA